AACGTAGAAGAGCATTTCAGATCAGTTGTCGTTCTTCCAGGCTTATTTTATATAATGTGAAAAATATCGCATAAGTCAGTATTGTTGCTTGAATGATGTTTATAGGGCCAAATTACACACATACAGGTCTAACTATCACCAGTATTTTAGGTTAGAACAATAACAAACAACAATAAATCAGGTGAATAATTTCTCCGCATTTATTCGGAATTTAATGACTTAAAAAAAGAAAACATAGAAGGTGGTTATGTGAAAATTAAAATATTTTTGTTACACAAAGTGTAACAACCACTTTAGATTAAAACTGTAGAAAGAATACTGGCAAGAGAGAAAGAATAGCTACTTGGAATTCTATTGAATATATATCCTTCTTCTCTTTCTCTTATAAGGGAGCGGGTTGGCCCCGTGGTAAAGTTCTGGATTTCACAGTTGGCGAGCCGGATTCAAATCCACAAGATACCAGAAAATATCTCCCACCCAAGTACTTTAAGCTGTGCATGCGTTATAAGAGTGACAGTCAATCCCTTAGCGTGGATAATGGATCGTAGGGTACTGCTAACTAGCTATCCTACAGTTCTGGATTTCACAGTTGGCGAGCCAGATTCAAATCCACAAGATATCACCCAAGTACTTTAAGCTGTGGATGCGTTATAAGAGTGACAGTCAATCCCTTAGCGTGGATAATGGATCGTAAGGTACTGCTAACTAGCTATCCTTCATTTGGTCAGTAGTTCAAAATTAGGGACGGCGGTAAATAGCCTTTGTAGCTTTTCTATAAACACAAATACAATTCCTCTTAGATTTTATCTTGGTTAAATGGCATATTCGTGAATTTCTTCATTCTCTAGGTTATTGCAATAGAACCTGAATTTTGGTAAGTTTCAACTTTAAATGATCTTAACAGTTTTGTACATAATTATGTTATTTTTCAATTTCTTAGAATGTTGTTTGACATCTCTTTTATCCGTTGTTAAACGGCTAACTTTTGAACAAAGTTAAAAGAACTGGTTAAAAGTATAAAATATTTGTAGTAAGAAACTAGAACTGGGTAAAAGTGTAAAATATTTGTAGTAAGAAACCAGAACTGGTTAAAAGTATAAAATATTTGTAGTAAGAAACTAGAACTGGGTAAAAGTGTAAAATATTTGTAGTAAGAAACCAGAACTGGTTAAAAGTATAAAATATTTGTAGTAAGAAACCAGAACTGGTTAAAAGTATAAAATATTTGTAGTAAGAAACTAGAACTGGTTAAAAGTATAAAATATTTGTAGTAAGAAACTAGAACTGGGTAAAAGTGTAAAATATTTGTAGTAAGAAACCAGAACTGGTTAAAAGTATAAAATATTTGTAGTAAGAAACTAGAACTGGTTAAAAGTATAAAATATTTGTAGTAAGAAACTAGAACTGGGTAAAAGTGTAAAATAATTTATTTACTAAGATTTATACGCTCTCTACAATTTGAGCAAAACACAATATTGTGAAATAGTTAAACATTCCTTCGGACTGACGTTTGTAATATAGAAACATACGACATATAACTGGCTTAAAAACAAAGATGTTTTCTGCCAATACTGTATATTGCTACCCGCACCCCCTAAAAGGCGTGAATGAATATTTCATATATGTGTATGTATAGAACAACAACAAAAGTTAATAATGTTATTTATATGATGAACCATTTACTTACGTTGTAAGTTGCTGTGGTTTATACTTTTCCTTCATTATGATTGTCACATTTCTTTTGTCGTTGTTTTCACATTTCGTGTACTACGGTTTTCACCTCCAGCATTTAATAAGCGAGAATGTTTGTTTGCTTTTGAATTTCGCACAAAGCTACCTGCGCTAGCCTTCCCTAATTTAGTAGTGTAAGACTAGAGGGAAGGCAGCTAGTCATCACCATCCATCGCCAACTCTTGGGCTACTCTTTTATCAGCGAATAGTGGGATTGACTGTCACATTATAACGCCAACACGGCTGAAAGGGCGAGCATGTTTGGTGGGACGGAATTCGAACCCGCGACCATCAGGTTGTGAGTCAAGCACCTCAACAAGCGAGAATGAAACAAGTTTGACAAAACAAAAATAATAATATAGAGTGAAGTATGTAAGAAATCTCATCGGTTGTGATTTTAAATTAGTAGTTGTTTGACTGAATAGAAAATGTATGAGCAAACAAATGACTTTACGCTATAAGCTTACAATTTTCAGCTGAATATTTTTAGCTGACGTTAAGATATCTATATGTTGCTAATCTAGAATACCAATTATCACAGTTACATAGAGAAATTCGGTAAATTTACATCTTAGCAAGGAGGTATATCAACGTCATTAAATCTATATTGGCCAATGCTGCTCATGTTTAAAATATATCTACCAATCAGAACTTTTATAGGAGGTATATCAACGTCATTAAATCTATATTAGCTAATGATGCTCATGTTTAAAATATTTCTACCAATCAGAACTTTTATAGGAGGTATATCAACGTCATTAAATCTATATTGGCCATGCTGCTCATGTTTAAAATATTTCTACCAATCAGAACTTTTATTAATATACATGGAGCTTTAGTATTTCTCAGTACAGTATATGATGTAGGTCTAAGGCTGAAACGTTTTTTCCAGTTTAAAGTGTATTGATTTCTGTGTGTGTTTTTGATAGCAGTTATTAAATAGATGTTGTTTCTATCTTAATTCAAATAAAGTAAAGTATTCGTTTTCTGATATAAACAAAACCATTATAGACCTGGATATTAATAACGTTGTTGTTTAAAGTTAAGCAAAAAGCTACACAATGGGCTATCTGTGCTCTGCCCACCACGGTATCGAAACCCGGTTTCTAGCGTTGTAAGTCCGCAGACATACCGCTGTGCCACTGGGGGGCGAGGTACTAATAACGAAAAAAATTCAAGTGTCACACATATTTTCGTTGTGCATCGATATAACTTTTTCTTATTACTTTTGTAAGAAAATTCCCAAAATAATTCTGATTTCTTATATATCTAAGGTAAGTTTTGTTTTTTTGTTGGTGCTTTGGATGAGTGCTGGATTTTATTTACTTGGTTTAGGCACAAGACTCTTAAGAGATGATTTCGAAGTACACAATCAAGGTAATTTGCAAACATTGTATTTAATGCATACGAACATAATTCACTCCGGTTTTGAAACATGTATGCATAAACCCATTGAATAATTGGTATAAAGATTTGCGCATATTCATAAGTAGCAATTCCAAATTATTATATGCATGTGATGGATATATTGGAAATATTTGGTGTTAATTGTTTTTTAATGCTTATAATTTATCAAAGGATATGCTCATATTATTTTCGTTTTAAAGTTCTTATTGTCAGCAATTTCACGACAAATAAACTTAAATACCAACAACCTTTCCAATATTAAAACCTTACTTTGAAACAACACAAAAAACAAAGAAGATATAAAAGAAACTGATTATTTGGGAATTTCAACTAAGAAAAGTTATAAGCAATTGAGCGACTATATCAATTTGATTTACTTATAATTATGATCTATCATGTCTTTGATTTCAGATACGTGGAGGTCGATTCTAGACGTTCTGATTACACGTTTTTTATACCAAAAGAAGACTGTGGAACTGTGACATTTCCAGACCCCACTAACCAAGAAACTATTCTAAATTTTGAGAACACCATAATATTTCAAATGGACCCGAGTTTCCAAGAAGCATGGGATTTAGCCAGAAGAATTTCTTGTCAATGGGTTGATATTTTTAAGAAACGCATTGAATTTCAACCGTTTGTTGTAGACATGTTGGATGTTGTGTCGGTAAAGTATTAAAACTTATTGCTCCTATACATAGTGCATAGGATTAATATAAACCAATTATTACAATATTTGTGCAAAGTCGTAATGAAATTTTATTAACTTTAATTAATAATACATATTCCCACAATATTTTATTCACTTTAATTAATAATACATATTCACACAAATAAAATGGCAAAATTTCGTGTTTTTAATTCTATATATTCCTTATTATCTTTATTTTATAATTCTTATTTGCTTTGGTGATAAATAGCAGTAAGTGTTTTTCTTTGGGCATATTTGGTTTTGATTTTTTTTATAACATCAAGTTTATTTTTAATACCACCAATTTTAATCATTGGCTCAACATATTTAATAGCATATTTACATTGCTATGATTAAAACTAAACTCAGTAATTTAGTCTAACTTGGTCTTGTTTTTCTTCTGCTAAGTAATTAGTGGCGTATTTTTTCACACAATACGTTTTAAACAAATTTAATATTTCCTTTATTTTCCTCATTTTTTGATTCTTTAAGCTGATCTCTGGTGTTAAGTTAATTGGCTATCTTTCCATTGAATTTAATTCCAAAAATGAAATTGTTAGATTCATCTATGTTTCCTAACGTAAAGTAATTACTATCTCTAAAACCTAAAATTTATTTTGAGCAAGCTGTATAACTAGTGACGCTTTGTCGGGTACAATATGTAAAAATACCTCATTTCCCTTCACGTGTCATTTTATATTAAGCAGATTCATCTCAACACATATATCTATGTGGTTATTTCAACCTTTAACCTTATTTTTTATAATGAATAAAGAAGCTTTGATAATTGTCATCGCTTTCAAAACAAAATATAATTTATCTGGTACATATAAAGTCGTTATTCAGCATACACCCTTAGGAGCATTGAAATTTCATAACACGATAAAGTTCAATCTTTATATTTCTGACAACATTTTAACTTTTCATCGCTTATAATCTTTCATACAGTTTCCCGAAATTATTAACTACAACTTATTAATTTCAAATTATTTGAAAGTTATTTCAGTAAAGGCATCGTTTTACTCATCATAAAAAAATAAATCTGTATCCAAATATTATTAGATTCACTTTCTTGTAGTGCAATATTAATTTGCATATATTAAGTTTTTAATAAAAGAGATAATCCTTGAATAATTCACTGACAATGGATTGATATTCTTAGGAAGTATACTGAGCTTTAAACCTTTGTTATAGAAATGTTGGATGTTGTGAGGTTACTGTATTAGTGGACTTACTTGGTGGACTTAAAAAAAACAAAAACAAAGTTGCATTTGCAAATTTTGATGAGTTCAGAGCAGTTAGAAAAAAAAAAGGCCTTTCCTGTACGAACATTTATTTACAAGTATGTAACTGTAATCCTATGTTAATACATAATCTAATAAACTTCTTAATATCAAAACGTAGAAAAAAGGAGGGATAAACCTATATTTTTACATAAATGTCATTCCTTCATTTTTTAAAGGTTCCTTTTCAAGGTGACGAAATCGAATGTTGGATGGATCTTCAAATAGGTACCTTTCCTAAAACACAACCAATCAATGGAATCGTAAAAATTGGTCAAGAAATGTCTATCATAATATATATCGGAGGAAATACTGATGATATTGATGTTCGTGTAAGAGACTGTTACGCATTTGACACCCCAAACTACAACGACAGTGTCACCAAAAGGCTTCAACTAACGGACTTAGAAGGATGTCCTGTCCAACCAAAGTTGATTGACTATTGGAAACGTACACTTCAAACAGGAAATACTGGAGCTAGCATTATAGCTTTTACATCTCTCAATGCTTTTAAGTTTCCGGACGGAATGGATGTTTATATAACTTGTAATATTGAAGTATGTAAGCAACGCTGTGAATACCGTTGTCCAGGAGAGCCAACAAATCCTGAGATAATCACTCAACCCCCCATCACACGACCTCCAGTCACTAGACCGCCATATACTCGACCCCCCATCACACGACCACCAATTACTAGACCCCATTACTAGACCGCCATATACTCGACCTCCAATCACACGACCTCCAGTTACTAGACCGCCATATACTCGACCCCCCATCACACGACCTCCAGTTACTAGACCGCCATACACTCGACCCCCCATCACACGACCTCCAGTAACTAGACCACCAATTACTAGACCGCCATATACTCGACCCCCCATCACACGACCACCAATTACTCGACCTCCAGTTACAAGACCGCCATATACTCGACCTCCAATCACTAGACCACCAATTACTAGACCGCCATATACTCGACCACCAATTACTCGACCTCCAGTTACAAGACCGCCATATACACGACCACCAGTCACTAGACCACCAATTACTAGACCGCCATATACTCGACCCCCCATCACACGACCTCCAGTCACTAGACCACCAATTACTAGACCGCCATATACTCGACCACCAATTACTCGACCTCCAGTTACTAGACCTGCCATTTACTCGACCCCCCATCACACGACCTCCAGTCACTAGACCACCAATTACTAGGCCTCCATATACTCGACCACCGATAACACGGCCTCCAGTCACGAGACCTCCATATACTCGACCCCCCATCACACGACCACCAATCACTAGACCACCGATAACACGGCCTCCAGTCACGAGACCTCCATATACTCGACCCCCCATCACACGACCACCAATCACTAGACCACCGATAACACGGCCTCCATTTACTCGTCCCCCAGTTACCAGACCTCCTATACGTCCACCCACAACGAAAACGAGTTGGAGCGGGAATGCTCCTCCTGATCACCCATTTCACAGCTTCCATTATCAACCAATACGACCACGACGATTTCGTAGGTATGCTACTAAAAATGCGGACAAGTACCAGTTGAGTGCACTAAATTTACCCGAAACTCAAGTGATTGCTCTTAGGACCAGAAGTTTCCGTGTGGTAAAAGAGGGTTTCCTGGATTCTAACGTGGTGAGACTACAAGGCCCTCTATATAAAGTAAGCTATTCCAATAAATATATAACGCAACTACTTAGCATAACACCAACTAAAGGGTTAGTTCAGTTATGTGCAAAATAATGCTTAATAACAGAAAGCTGATAGTTGAGTAAAGAATAATCTGAAACAATTGATATTCATTGCAAGTACTCCGGAGAAAACATCTCAAATTGGTACCATAAAAGACCAAGTGAAGAGATGCCTACATTAGCAGTCCGAAGCTTTGTCTCCAAATTATCCTGGGGGGGGGGGGGATAAAACTCGTTAAAATAATATAAATAAAGCATTATATTCAAACAATCTAGGAATAACTTTTGTGTTAAGTCGAAGTAGCTGTAATAAATTAAAGCTTTGTTAACAAATAATATACGTTATATGTTTCACAAATTTCAAACCAAGTTAGTTAAAATAGTAGCTCCCCCCCCCCAGTGGCACAGCGGTATGTCTGCGAACTTACAACGCTAGAAACCGGGTTTCGATACCCGTGGTTGGCAGAGCACAGATAGCCCATTGTGTAGCTTTGTGCATAACTACAAACAAACAAACAAATAGCAGCTTTCATGTTACAACCCTGAAACTTCAAACAGTTATTTTTTTCTCCATTACTCATATTTTCTTTGTACATAGATGTTTCAAAGTATCCTAACTTTTTTCTTAAATAAGTTAATTCGTACTTAGCTATTTGATTTTTCTTAAATAATCCAAAACAATCCAAACCAGCTAGCCATGTTCTAGCAACTAAGCTTGTTTATTTGTTTTGAATTTCGCGTAAAGCTACAAGAGGGCTATTTGCGCTAGGCATCCTTAATTTAGCAATAGGAAGACTAGATGGAAGGCAGCTAGTCATCACCACCCACCGCCAACTCTTGGGCTAATCTTTTACCAACGAATATTGGGATTGACCATTGTATTATAATACTCCCACGGCTGAAAGGGCAGACATGTTTGGTAGGACGGGTATTCGAACCCGCGACACTCAGATTGCGAGTCGAGCTACCTAACCACCTGACCATGCCGCGCCACAACTAAGCTAATGATAAAATTATTAAGCTTTTAAACTTCTTGAATCATATGGTTATTTATTGGTTCTATTTATATACTACTAAAACTCTGAGATTGTTTGTTTACTTGTCTGTAATTAAATACAGCAAAAACGG